CACAATCAAAGATATTGTTTAGGTAATTATATAATTACTTAAAATGTAATCAATGTAAAAATCATTTTAGCTTGTCACGCTTACAGAAATGAGTAGTGGACTGGATTTGTCCCATAGGTCATAATTGCTGGCTGATGCGGTAGACATTTTGAACTTTATAGGCAACCATTAAAAAAGGTTTTATTTAGGAAAAGCACATATCAGACATAAAGTTTGAAAACACCAATATGATAGCACTGTGGGAATTGAGGCAAAACTAGTGTCAGTGAAACTAGTTAAGATGTTCTTGAAGCAATCAGTGGATGTAATAATCTCTGAGCTAAAAAGTAAAGTAAACAGTATTTGGTATTTCCTTAGAAGTGCCATGAATAGGGGCACCTGGATGGCCCAGTCAATTGTGTGTCTGACTCTTGATTTCAGCTCAGGTCATGATCTCAGGGTTATGAGACTGAGACCCACATCAGGCTCAGTGCTGAGCACAGAGTCTGCTTAGGACTTTCTCTCTCTCTCTCTCTCCCTCTCCCTCTGCCCCACCCCCCACTCTCTCTCTCTCTCATATAAGTAAGTAAATAAAATCTTAAAAAAAAGAAGTGCTATGAATAGTAGTATGGAAAGAGAGGAGTGAAGGATAACTCTTTATTCTCTTTTAAAATCAGGCATTACTTAGGAATTTGGTGATGCCATTGAAAAAGAAACACAAGAAGCAGAATTAGACCTGTAAATACAGAGAAAAAGCTGATGGTTGCTAGGGCAGAGGGGTGGGGTGTGGGGAGGGGGAGGGAGAGTAGTGGGAATGGGCATATGGATGAAGGGGAGTGGGAGATACAGACTTCCCATTATGGAATGAGTAAGTCATGGGAATAAAAGGCACAGCATAAGGAATGTAGTCAATGATATCGTAATAGCGTTATATAGTGACAGATGGTAAGTACACTTGTGGTGAGCATAGTATAATGTATAAACTTGTCAGATCACTGTTATACACCTGAAGCTAATATGCATGTTTGTCAACTCCATATAAATAAATTTTTTAAAAAACAAGAAGTATGCATATAGAAATAATGAATTGTGTTTTAAATAGAATTAGTTTAACATAGTAACAATAATTGAAACTACAAACCAGACTGGACTTTACCAAATGTGAATATGCAAATTTGAATTTAAAGAGTCCATATCTTTCCTCACCTTGACATTGTTAAACATGAATGTTTGTATTTAAGAATTTCTTTTTTTAAATTTTATTTTATTATGTTAGTCACCATACAATACATCATTAGTTTTTGATGTAGTGATCCACGCTTCATTATTTTCATATAACACCCAGTGCTCCATGCAGTACGTGCCCTCCTTAATACCCATCACTGGGCTAACCCATCCCCCAAACCCCATCCCCTCTGAAACCCTCAATTTGTTTCTCAGAGTCCACAGTCTCTCATGGTTCATCTCTCCCTCCAATTTCCCCCCTTCATTTTTTCCCTTCCTTCTCCTAATATCCTCCATGCTATTCCTTATATCACAAATAAGTGAAACCATATGATAATTGACTTTCTCTGCTTGACTTATTTCACTAACGTAATCTCCGGTCCCATCCATGTTGATGTAAAAGTTGGGTATTCATCCTTTCTGATGGCTGAGTAAGATTCCATTGTATATATGGACCACATCTTCTTTAGCCATTCATCTGTTGACGGGCATCTCAGCTCTTTCCACAGTTTGGCAATTGCGGACATTGCTGCTAGGAACATTGGGGTGCATATGGCCCTTCTTTTCACTACATCTGTGTCTTTGGGGTAAATACCCAGTAGTGCTATTTGCTGGGTAATAGGGTAGCTCTGTTTTTAATTTTCTGAAGCACCTCCACACTGCTTTCCAAAGTGGCTGTACCAACTTAAATTCCCACCAGCAGTGTAAGAGGGTTCCCCTTTCTCCACAACCTCTCCAACATTTGTTGTTTCTTGCCTTGTCAATTTTTGCATTACCAAGATAGCATGGTACTAGCACAAAAACAGACATATAGACCAATGGAACAGAATAGAGAGCCCAGATATGGACCCTCAACTCTATGGTCAAATAATCTTTACAAAACAGGAAAAAATATGCAATGGAAAAAAGACAATCTCTTCAATAAATGGTGCTGGGAAATTTGGACAGCCACATGCAGAAGAATGAAACTCGACCATTCTCTAACACCCCACACAAAGATAAACTCAAAATGGATGAAAGACTTCAATGTGAGACAGGAATCCACCAAAATCCTAGAGGAGGACAAAGGCAGTAACCTCTTTGACATCGGCCACAGCAACTTCTTTCAAGATACATCTCCAAAGGCTAGTGAAACAAAAACAAAAATGAACTTTTGGGACTTCATCAAGATAAAAAGCTTCTGCACAACAAAAGAAACAGTCAACAAAACAAATAGGCAACCCACAGAATGGGAAAAGATATTTGCAAATGACACTACAGATAAAGGGCTGGTATCTGTGATCTATAAAAACTTCTTAAACTCAACACCCAAAAAACAAATAATCAAGTCAAAAAATGGGCAGAAGACATGAACAGACACTTCTCCAAAAAAGACATACAAATGGCTAACAGACACATGAAAAAATGTTCATCATCATTAGCCATCAGGGAAATTCAAATCAAAACCACACTGAGATAACACCTTACACCAGTTAGAATGTATTTAAGAATTTCTTAATTCAAAATGTCTTTTTGTAGCCTACTTGTAGTTCCCCTGGTAGTATCTTTATTCTTTAACAGCACTGATTCTTAAACTTCAGTTTTTCACACTTACTTAAACAATTCTTTTAATGATCGATTTAAACTCTTCCATGTAACATTATGCACTTAAAATTTGGTTAGTTAACTGTGAATTTAAGATCCTATAGCCTAGATTAACATTGATAAGGGAACTCATTTTGTTTCGCATATCTTTAACTTTAACTAATATCTTTGACTTTTTGAAAAGATATTTTAGCTAAATGGCTCAAATCATGATTAGTTCCACATTGCAAATAATTGTCCCCAGCTACTTTCTAAAAATTATCATATGCTCTGTGTGACTGAGAATAGCAAAAATCTCAGTGTTTACAGCAGTTCTTTCTCTTAAAGTCAAGAATTAATTCAAAAAAAAAAAAAAAGAAATGTATCACTTGCCTGGTCAAAAACATCTCCTTGCTGCTCACTGTGTCAAATCTCTTAACTCTGGTATCCCTATATGAGCTGTAGGGAGGTCCTATCAAATTAATCTTCTTGTATCTATTCACTCTTTCAACAAATACTGATCAAGAAACTTCTATATTAGCTTTACCATATCTTCATAAATAATTTTACAGGGTTAACCTCATATATATTAAGTTTTTAGTTTGTTTGTTTATAGCTGCATTTTGTAATGTAATGCACATTATACATTATCCTCACACCATCCTTGAAAAAAACACAAAATAGGTAGAAATTTATGGCACAGAAGCTATAAATAACTCACCAATCCTATAGGCCCAGGTTATAGTCCCTTTAGTCTTTAGACTTGCATATTGCACAAGTTGATAACCAAGGGCATTGATTCCTTCCTTGGCACTGAAAATATATTCTGGTTTTAAAGATGGAGATCAGAGCTTACGCACATGGAAGAAAAGAAGTTAAAGAGAGTATAGGAAGTAAATTTGTATCTGTAACCCAAGTGTAATTTTCATAGACCAGTGCAATTTCCCATTATGAAATGATTTTTCTCCTTTTTTGCAACACTTGGAGCAATTATTTTCATTAATAGTTGTTGGGTCAAAGACCATGTATCAGAATAGTTAACTGGTGCAATGAAAAACAGATTTGACCAATTTTTCTTAATGAAACTAAATGGGTATCTTAAAAGAGTTGAACTAATTAACTGTCTTAGAACTTTTGAAGAAGTAGGTAATTTATTTTTATAGTCAGGACCAGACTAGTACGAGATTTGTTTTATAGTATTCAGCATATTGATCTATTAAAATTTCTGTAGTCAGACATAGTTAGATGTAAGACTATCAAGGATCACGTAATGTAAGAAATAATGCTTCAGAATTATATTTATCTTTAAATATTTATTGGCTACTTATGTTACAGGGTATCACCAATATCAAAGTTTGTCGCTTCCTCCTTGGATCATTGCTAATTGATATTTCTTGTCTCCCTTCCATTTAGTTAGGACAATGTAATGTGTTCTATTAACAAAATGATCTTTTAGAATGAGGTGATTAAAAGCAGGCCTAACCTCTCTTCTCTAAAGGCTATATGTGTAGTATTAAGTGAAGGAACTGCAGACACTAGAAACTACTACATGAAAGGATATTAGTTCCTGAATGACCCATAACAAATTGTGATTTGATTAAGAAATAAACCTTTATTAACTGAGCCACTGACATTTTGGGGAGTCCTTATTTCAGCAGTTTCTATGATTTACATAAACTAATGCAGCTTTTCACTTGTCACCGGTGATTAGAATAGAAATTGAGTAACCACCATACTCATTTTGAGATGTGTGTCAGATTTACCTGGAAAACTTAAAAAAAAAAAAAATGAATATCCAGCTCAGTCCACTTAGGTTGATGTGAAAGCATAGCAGGCATGTGTATGTCTCAAAAAAATTACATATAATTCTGATGTTTGCTTTTGTTTAAGAATCACTGTGAAGGTTCTTATCTTATAAGGGGTATATTATCCTTCACATAAACCAGTTTAAATCAGTACATTCAAATTCATTATTCATGTATCTATAGCTTTCATTGCAAGATTTGGAGATTTGGTATTTTTACAATTTAAAATAATTATGACTGACTTCTTCCAGCTCAAAATTCTGATACAAAATTCGTGAGTACAAAATGCATAGTATATCACAGTAACCTCTGAATAAATATTTTAGATAAAAGGCAAATCTAAGCTAACATGATCACATGGCTAATGCTTCACTGAAAATTACTCCCATTTCCCAAGATGTGATTTAGACTTATATATCTTGCATTTACTTTGTTTCTTTTTTTTTTTTTGGAAAAAAAACTTGTTTATTGTCTAAAAATGTATATTAAAAAATTCCCCACAAAAGATGCTATTCTTTCATTTTCCCATCTTCTTCCTCTTCTTCAACGCCCCTGATATAAAGGACATTACACCTTATTAAAACTTCAGCCAAATGTCCAGACAATGCTCCATCTATGTATTCTTCTGTGTTTGCAAGCTGCATGTTCATATAGCCATCTACAGACACCAGGTAGCCTTTGTACTCCATTCCCCACTTAGGTTCCACCATTACTGGTTTTCCTGTTAATACATTCAGGAAAGGTTTGGGATTGAGGGGCAAACTCATCATGACTGCAAGGAAATGCTACAGGCCACTTGCCAACAACTGAACTTTTGTCTGTTCCTGGTGACTAGAATAGCTGCACATCTCCTTTCAGTTTCTTAATTTCTACAAAAAATAATAAGTTCAAACCCTTTTGATATGATTTAACAGAAGGCAGTTTTCTTAATCTCATGGTTCATCTAAGAAACTGAGTATATTTGTTGAGGATATAAGAAGACAAGGATTTATTGAATGACAAGACTATCTAAAATAGCTCATGTGGGTCAGCTGATTGAAGAAATACCTAGATAATATACACAAACATACTGCTATATAATCCCAGAGTGTGAGCTGCTGACTAAATCATGACAAACATCCTTTATTCACTTACTTGCATATTTATTCATAATTCAACAAATATCTGTTGAACAACTCTTATGTTTGAAGCCTACACATTAAGAATAAAAATGACTATGGCATCTTTCCTTTATAACAGAAAAGAGCTCATTCATATTTTTACCATCTGGTGTCAAAGAATAGACATTATCTTAACAGTAAGCACAATGGTCTAGCTTCTAGTTTGAAGAAAACAAGTCATGGGTTCTGAGCCACACTTGCAATAGTCCCTTCTTCATATGAGAAAGACGGTGTCAAGATAGCAAGGCAGGAGCTCAAGCTAAGACAAATTGAACAAGAGCTAAAATGCATATCCAGATACTTTTTTCTGTTACTTATTATTTTACAAGTAATAAAAAGAAAATTCGGCATCAGAAAAATAACAAAGAATTTGTAAAAGAAGTAGGGGTTTGTTTTTGTAGATAGTTTGCTAAGTGGCTCTAGCTTTGTGGGTTGAGGGGCTGTGGAAACAAGTCTCAATCAAACTACAGTTTGGATGCAAAAGGAAAATCGGATTAAATGAAGAAGGAGACTTATTTTATTTTATTTATTTATTATATATTTTTAAAAGTAACAATGAGTAGCAGGTTAGTTTTATTCATATTAAGCCTGAGGTTATTTCATTGGTGAGTTATACATGTCAAAGTTATCAGTAGAAACTTTATAATTTCAGAGTGTATGACAAAAGATAAAAATGGTCAAAAAGGCCTTTAGACTGTGACTTATGTCAGCAGTCTATACTGAACCGTGTGGTGGGTTCTTCACCCAACTGTATGCAAAATCAGTAGGTTTCTGTCAACTTAATTATGATAAGTAAAAGCTTGATCAGTAATGACACACTGCTTTACATATTTTGGGACTAGTCTGGAGCATGGTCATTGACTCCATCTGCTTTTTCTCACAGTCTTTGTCTCTGTCAGTTTATCAGGCCAGAATATGTGATGTTCTATGACATTATATTAAATGGGATAATTCATGTAGAAACACTATGAAAATTGTAGACTGAGTATTAGTTTATGTACTGCATTATTCATGAACAAGTGTGATGTTTCAGAGCAGGCAAGCTGTGTAGCAGATCACTTGTTATTTTGTTGGCACTGAGAATGAATTCCTGCCTGATATTATTCACAACAAGTTGCCATAGGAGCCTATAGTTTGGAGTTAGAGATTATCCCTAAAGGGAAAACAAGTGTCCTATTTGAAAATGGCATGCTCCTGGGGAAGCTGACATATTGTTACTGGTCATTTTCATATTACAGTAAAACAGCATATTTTTCTTTCCACTTTATATTTTCCTTTAATAACAGGAAATTGAAAAAGTGAAGATCTTGTTGGTAAAGAATTGAGTAAGAATGTGTAGCAGAATGGACTTCTCTAGGGAAAAAAGTAGATAAATGCCCCCAGGATAGCAGGAGGAAATTGGAATGAGTGCTGATCAAGGAGTCCAGAGAATCCTGTCTGCGTCTTGACTTTGCTATTGACTGGTTTCTATGACCTTAGGCATCTATAATTTATTCTAAATTTTCATATTTTTAATAGCAATATTGTGAAAGTTTTAAAATTCTAAGCAGTTGATATATGAGAACATTTTAGAAGGCATTTACCTCTGTGCAAAAGATATGATCATAAATAGATATAGGGATAGATATTTGGGATTTTGAGTCTGCTCAGCTACAATTTCAGAGACTTCACTGACAGTGCATAAATAGAAATAAAGTCTCTGCAAAAATAATTGAGAAAAGTCTCTAACCAGTCCTCAGTAATTTAAAAAGAGAGAGAAGCCTTGAGTAAGTATAAGAACATGATTTCCAGAGTCAACACATTATAATATTCAAATGTTCAGTTTTACAACAAAAAATTGCAAAGCTTTCAAAGACACAGGAAAATATAGCCCTTTTAAAGGATCAAAGTAAATTGATAACTCTTTCCAAGTGAACTCAGATATCTAAATTACTGGGAAAAGACTTCAAAACAACTGTCTTAAATAGGCTTAAAGAACAAAATAACATGGCAAAAAAAGCTACAGGAAATCAAGAAAACATTGTATGAACAAAATGGGAATACCAATAAAGAGATGGAAATTATAATGAAAAACAAAGGAAAAATTCTGGAACTGAAAAGTATAATGACTAAAATGAAAATTCATTAGAGGAGTTCAACAGCAGTTATAAGCAGACAGAAGACAAAATACATAAACTTGAAAATAAGATAATTGAAATTATCAATTCTGAGGAAAAGAAAGAAAAAAGAATGAAGAGTGAACCCCTGAGGTATACTATCAATGTAATCAATGTATAAACATATATATTATGAGATTCCCAGAATGGGAAGATAGGAAGGGACTGAAAGAATATTTGAAAAAATAATGGCCAAAAGCTTCCCAAATTTGGTGAAAGATACAAATCCACACATTTAAGCTCAGTGAATAAACTCAAAGAGATCCTGTCAGAACACATTATAATCCAATTGTCAAAAGACAGAGAATCCTGAAAGCAGCAAAAGAAAAGTGACTTACTACATTTCAAGATTAACAGCTTACTTCTAATTGAAAACCATGTACTGCAAAAGGCAATAAAAAGTCACATTCAAAGTACTAAACAGAAGATTATTACTTAAGCAATTATATCCAGAAAAACTATTTGTTAAGCCAAAGGAGAAATCAAGACATTTCCAGATAAACAAAAACTGAGAATTTGTTGCTAGCTGACCTGTCCTGCAAGAAATATTAAAGGGAATCTTTCAAGGTGAAATGGAAGGACATTAAACAGTAATTTGAATCCACAAGACAGAAATAAATAACCTAGTAAAGTTGAATACATAGGTAAATACAAAGATAGGATAAGTGCATCTTTCTTTGTGATTCATCTTCTCCTCTCAGTTAAAAGGCAATTGCATAAAACAATAATTACAAATTGTGTCTCTAGGCTTATAATATGTAAAGTTGAAATTAGTTTGATCATAATTTTACAAAGGACAGTGAAAATGTAAATATGTCGGAGTGAAGTTTTTGCATATAGAATGTAAATTGATATTAACCCAAACTAGATTTTTATAAATTAACATGGGAAACCATGAAGGAAGTAATTTCTAAAATATTGTCAAAGCAACAAAAAGTAAATTAAAATAGTTTGGTACAGAATATCTATTTATGACCAAAGAAAGTAGTCATGGAGCAATAAAAGAGCAACAAAATTATGACATAAAGAAAAGAAATACCAAAATGCAGACATATATCCTACCATATCTGTAACTACACTTAATGCAAATGGACTTAACACAATGAAAAATAAATATTGGCAGAATGGATTTGAAAGTATGATTTAATTATTCATTGTCCACAAGAAACTCACATTAGATAGACAGACACAAATATGTTGAATACAAAAGGATAGAAAAAGATTACCATACAAAACAAAGGAGAGCTGGAGTATCTCTACTAAGAACTGACAAAATAGACTGTAAGACAAAAATTATTACTAGAGCCAAAGTAATTTCAATTATAAAAGGGTCAGTTTATTAGGAAAATATAATTACCAAACACATGCACTTAAAAATGGAACTCTAAAATATATGAAGCAAAATTGACAGAATTAAAGGAAGCAATACATAATTCAACAATAATATTGGACATTTTAATACTCCACTTTGTTTTTTCCAGTTTTATTGAAATATAGTCAACATGTAAAAACAGTATACATTAGGATCTATAATGTGATTTTTTTGAAATATATATAATGAAATGATTGCCACAATTAGCTAATGATTGGCACAAATAGCTAATTAACATATTAGCATAATAATGTCACTTTAGATAGTTACTTCTTTTGTGTGTGGTGAGATCACTAACTCTCTTAGCAAATTTTAAGTATATGATATAGTATTATTAACTATAGTTAGCATACTGTAGGTTAGATCTCCAGGAGTTACTCATTCTACATAACTGAAACTTCCTAACTTTTTTTTGATGTTATGTTAATCACCATACATTACATCATTAGTTTTTGATATAGCGTTCCATAATTCATTGTTTGTGTATAACACCCAATGCTCCATGCAGTATGTGCCCTCTTTAATACCCATCACCAGGTTAACCCATACCCCCCTCCCCTCTAGAACCCTCAGTTTGTTTCTCAGAGCCCATAGTCTCTCATGGTTCATCTCCCCCTCCCATTTCCCCCCTTCATTTTTCCCTTCCTGTTATCTTGGTTTTTTGGGGTTTTTTTTTTTGACATATAATGTATTATTTGTTTCAGAGGTACAGGTCTGTGATTCATCAGTCTTGAACAATTCACAGCACTCACCATAGCACATACCCTCCCCAATGTCTATCACCAGCCACCCCATCTCTCCCACCCCCCACCACTCCAGCAACCCTCAGTTTGTTTCCTGAGATTAAGAATTCCTCATATCAGTGAGGTCATATGAT